TTGGTGAGCGAGGACTTGAAGAAGCTGGGAAAGCCTGGCCACTCTGTGCATTTTGACTGGTCAGCTGAATGCTTATGAAGAGAAAAACTTGAAAAACTCTGCGCCGCAGTAAAAAAATTTGGTGGAAGGATGCAAAATTGCATAGATTCACTAAACTTCACCGAGTGACAGCAAGAATTACGTCAAGAAGTGATGAAATTCATTCGAAAAAACGCAAGCATTTAGTCACATGCAAAAGAAAGGGCGGGAGAGAAGTAGGAGGGAAAAAGACTGACCAAACAGTAATAATGTCAACTGGAAAACTGTGGTAAAAAGAGAATAATGAAAGTCAAAAAATGCAAATGCCGTATTTACGCGAAAAATGCAAAAAAGTACAACGTGGATTCACCCCGATTCTAATTTAGGGTTAAAGAAAAAATGTGAGAAAAGGCGATGAAAAGCATGTAAGGAATTACAAAAGTAGGTAAGAAATGTTTCGGTCCATTAAGTCGTACATGTTTCTTACCTTTATCACATTTGGACCTCGTTAGTACGACGAGTGTGGTAAAAAAATTTTGAAAGTTAATTAAGTAAGAGGGGGACTAAATAAATTAGTTAATGTGTATGAAAAGTAGAATGCAGAAAGGAATGTCGAAGAAAAGAAGGTACAGCTGAAAAGAAGGCACGGCTGATGGGAAGTCGAAGAAAATCCTCGATTTCACAAAAAGCAAAACCGGCGAGAGTTGGCGGATCACGAAAGAGTGAGAGGCCGACCAAGGGCACAAGTAGTTGTTATTTTACTGTAGAAAACTCTCTTCAATACCTCCCAGGCGTCCTCCTTCTCCAGGAGCTCCGCTTTCTCCTCCCCCTTTCCCTCTGTGCCCCCCTTCCCACCCGATCGCTGTCATAGCTTAGAATCGGCTAGCAATGCGGGGATTAAGGGGGGGGGGGGAACCGCCCAAATGACCTTCTCCCCAGGAAATCGCCCTAGATCCGCCTATGTTAAGAGGCGATAGGGGGTTTTTTCTCGTGAAAATTGTTTATGT